TCTATAAAAAAAAAAAAAAAAATTAAAATGGTTGTTAATATTCTAATACATATAGACAGATGAAGATGTGGATATAAATAAATGAAGCAAGTTAGATATGAATCTAAAAGAAACGACTCAAAGAAAATGTTCTGAAATAATAGCAGTGGCTATCATTGAGTGGGATATTTATCAATAATTTTAATATACTTTCATGTTTACCAAATTTCCAATGAAAAACATTTAAATTTTATATTAAAATGTTATTTTTTTAAAGAGAAAATACATTGATCTTTATCGTTTAAAGCAAAATATATGACATAACTTACCCAGAGAAACATGTCGAAGAGAGTTTTGGATTAAATTACTTGCTTTGGGATTTAAATAAGTGACCAAGTTATTAAAATTTAACAAAATGATAATGCTTCTCTTAAATGTTTGCTGCTCAGACTGTCTTTTAAAGAATCTAATCAAATTTACAAAATAGCAAATGACTACTTTATACATGGGTGGTACTAAGCTCTGGGATCCTTGGTAATGATAATGTGCTAACATACCATCGACTATCTTTGGATTAGTGAACCACATTATTCATCCATCAGTTCATGGATATTTCTAGTTTTGTTCATCAGTTTCATTTTAAATTCCCAGGATCTGAATTAATTGCAGGTGTCTGCTTCCAACAGGAGTGTAGTCTTTAAATTATACATGTCAGTCTACCGCTTACATCATGTCATATCCTGTTATGCTACTTCCCACCATAAACTGGCATAACACAGCATGACACAAGAGAAATGCACTGACATGGAGCAAGATGTCAGAAAATAAATACTAAATTTTCGCAGATAATGTGGAACAGATATTTTGAGTTATCTGAATTCTTCTGAGCAACATGTTTTATCTTATTAAAGTTAGTTCTTTAAAAAATTGATGATAATTTTTTTGTAGTTAATTCCAAGACACTTCAGTTTAACCTTGAAGGTTAGAAATGTTATGTGATAACTTGCAGGGAAAAATATTTAAATTTAATCAGAGGTTATTTGAAAAATGTTCTACTACAAATAGCTCAAACTCTTAGAAAACTATGTAGAATTTTGACGTAATGGAGTAATGATCATGCCTTCATAGAGCAAGAACACTTACACAGAAAAAACATGATTTTAATCTGTAGTCCAATGAGAGTCAGGATTTGCAAACCAAAGTGACCAAAACAAATGATAAAAGAAGGATGAGCTAGGATAGTGATGGTCAGGCAATGGGGCCTTATGTTCAGTGAAAAAGTATGGCCAAAGGGGAAAGGAGGAGCAGTTGAATATGTATGTAACTGTAGTGCAAGAGGTTTGGAAAAGAGAGAGTATCCAATTATATCTTAAGGCTAGGGTTAATATTTGACAATGAAAAATTACCAAAGGTTTTTCATAGAGACTATGAACTGATCAAATTTTTATTTTAGAAAAATCACTTCTATTCCTTATCATTCTCCTCGATTCTTCTTTCTCCTTTCTACCTCTAAGCTGTGGAGAGCCTAAGGTCTCAATTTTGTGACTTTTGTCTCTACATGCACTCAGGTTTTAGATAACCTCATCTAGTTCCTGTGACTCTAAATACCATCATTCTCTGAAGGTTCTCAAATGTAATATCTCCAGTCTTTTTTTTTTTTCCTTCTATATTATGTTCATTGAGGTAAAGCAGGTTTACATCTTTTTATTTGCTCTGGGGTTTCAGGTACAAACCTCTTTAAATGTATACTTTCATACCCTGTCCAGTGCCCCAACAATTCTCCACCATGTTCCACTGGGCCCCTACTTTACCCACTCCCACCCACCATCTTCCTCTTTTGGTTGCCTCAGATTTGTAGTCAGTGATTGAGAGTTTATTATTGGTTTGGTTTTGACTGACCCTTTGTCATGTTTGTCTATATTCCAAAGTGAAACTATCCCATATTTGTATTTTGGGTATTTTCAAAGTCATAATGGTGATAGGAGAGAATTAAAATGGAGTCAATACATGCAAGGGAATGATTATAACAACAGCCCACAGAATATAATCTGGAAAAGGAAGAAGGGGTAGTAAAAGAAGGGAAAAGATGGTAGAATCAGTGGCTTCTAGCATTAAAAGACTCCAGTTTTGATTTCGAGAATGGATACAACTAAAAGTAAATTTCTATTTTAAGTGTGGATAAATAGCATATAAATAATAACAGCTTTGTTAACATTCCTATTCTCAAAATAAAAATGATTTTATAAATGAAATTTATAAGTACATAAATTTGAAAAGATGGTAGAGAATGTCAGCTCCACTTAAAACATAATTCATTAGCATTAAGCCAAACTTGAATATTCAGTGTCCAAAGCTTTCCTTACTAAAGATCTGAAGTTGTTCTACAAGAGATCCATTACAGTAAAATTCTAATGGAGACTATCTTATCTTTTTTTTATTAGAATGTAGCTTTATATAAAGCCAGCTATGAACACTTTCAGTGTTCAGGTTGCACCCCATGTGCAAACCCAACCTAATTCTCCATGGGAAAATGGGAGACAAAATCTACCCAAGGAAGTTCACCTAAAGCCTCCCTTTTCATTAAGTTGATCACACCTGATGATGAATACTTCCTAATATATAGCTCTCATCTCACACCATAAAATTAGTTCTATCCCTTTTTTCCTCATCTTCTTTCTAAATACAATAGAATCTTAGTCTTTATTTCTCCTCTAGCATCAAGCTAGATTCTGTTCTTCCCCCGCACCCTGGGGAACCCAGTTATAATACTTATTTTCTCACTGGATTGCTCTCCTTTCTCTCTATTGATTCTTTCCAATCTGCCTTCACAATAACAGGAACTTCAGAAGTCATTTTAAACAAATATACCCTTGAGGGGCCTCCCTGGTGGTGCAAGGGGTGAGTGCCCCGCACTATGAATCAATCCGCAGCCTCTGCAGCATGAGTTCAATCCCCTGCCAGCCAGAGAGCATCCCACAGGGCGAAGCAGACCTCTCCTGTTTCGCCCACTGCTCCCCTCAGCAGTGTGTTTCAGTCAGTCTGCCTGTTCTGTTCTCCACTCTGTCTCTGGTGAATCCTCTCACCACCCCCACAGCTCCCCGGCATCTCTGCCTATACCCCAGCTTGTATGCATAAATAAATAAATCTAAAAAAAAACAAATATGCCTTTGAGCTCAGGATTTATTCAAATTAGTATTGTTTTTCAATTCTTTTTGCCATTTTCAGTGAGTGATCAATACTCCCTGTTTCAATTTCCACAATATTCTATAAAATTATTTTCCTGACAGAATGTCCCTAAAAATGCCTCCATCTGAGAACACAGGCTCTCCCTCTAGCAACTGTAGTGAGATGATGAAATGCAGGGAGCAGCTACCATGCCTTGGAGGGGGAATTTAAGGGAAAAGGTGGTTACTGCAGCTACCTGGTATTACATAACAAATCACCCCTTAAATTTGATGGCTTACTGAAACAGTTTCCTTACTTCCTCCAGTTTTCCTTTCCCACTCACTCACTTCCAAATCCCCTTTCCTTGGCAGTCAAATAAATCTTTTGAGTTCTGTCATAGATTTTAAATATTTATAACTTATGTGACCTATTTATGGACCAGAGATACACATGTGCTTGGGATTTAGAGTGTAAACATCACTAATGGTTTATTTTTCATGAATCAAATTATTGACAATAAAGACAAAAATAATCAACTTTAAGGTAGCTCCATATTAGTCAAGACAGTTTTAGTTAGCTGCAGTTAGTAATCAATCTCAAAATCTAAGCACTTTTAAGCAAAAATAAGAATTTTTGAGAAGTTGTATCAACTACCATGACCTTGACATCTTTTCGGTACTTAAAAACTCACCAGTGATGTCAATAGGCTTATAGACAATGGAAATTTTTAGTCATTGCAACTTTTAACACACAAAAGATAAAACGTGAGTCTACTTCTTAATTCTTTTTAACAATTCTAGGCCGACTGAAAATTTCCACCTCTTTCAAACCAATCTTAATAATGCATAATTTATCAGGAACTTACTACTTATTTGTTAACTTATTAGCATAAAAGGTATGTAAAATTCTCTTAAAATATTTAAACTCTCTCAGCTCCCTTTTAAATTATGAACTTCTACATTTAGTTTTCCCTTTCTTTTCTTGTTTGGATATGTTAGGTGTTCTTTATTAGTTTTTTTTTTTAAAGATTTATTTACGCATGCATACAAGAGCTGGGGTGTAGGCCAGAGGTGTGAGGGGGTGAGAGGATTCACCAGAGACAGATTTGGAAGCAGAACAGGCGGATTGACTGAAAACACTGCTGAGGGGAGCAGTAGGCAAGACAGGAGAAGTCTGTTTTGTCATGTGGGTCACCTCCCTGGCTGGGGATTGAACTCTTTTGCTGCAGTAGCTTCCAATTGCTTCACAGTTCTGACACTTAACCCTTTGCACCACCAGGGAGACCCTCTTCATTAGTTTTTATTCTGCCTTTTTTGTTGTTTACTGAAAACACACAGCTGATTAAATTGTATTCCTCTTACTGAGTTTCTTAAGTTTGCTTTATTGTTTTTCTTAATTTTTGGGTAAAGTATCAAATCAATTTATTTTCATATTTATTGTTTAATAAGGAATTCCAAACAAGTATGCTTTCTAACTGTGACTTTGGAAGCACCACAAAACCTTTAATTTACAGAATTCTCCTGTCTCTTCATATAAGGTCTGCAGTGCTACTTAGATACAAGATCTTTTTAGCAAAATTCTTTATTTTGCTTTTAACATCCAAGTAGTATAAATTTTTTGTTTATATTTGTGCAATTAAGTTTTCGTTTCACCATAATACCATTAGACAATATAGCTTACACAGTTCCCACAGTTTCTAGTTTTAAGATTTTGCAGGTGTATAGTTGGTATATGATCACTTTTTATACTTTTTCTGAGACTTTTGCAAAGAAACTATTGTTTTTATAGAATATAGATAGAACTTTTATATAACTACATATATATTTTATAAAGATTTTTAATATGTGCATACATACCATTTGCCATATGTAAATAAAAACAGAGATGCAATTATTGGTTGCATCTTCCCAGTAATTTCAGTCCTCAATAAGTTATTTAGAGATCTAAAAAAAAATATTTCATACACAAAATAGAAACAATTAGTATTCTTGGAAATTTTAAACAAGATTGTCAAAAAATTTTAAATAGTAATTTTGAAAGCTAAATGGAATGAAAACATAGTTAATGATTTCATCAACTGAAATAGCAACCTGATTCTTCCAAACAAGATAAAAAAATGACAAAGTATTAACACTTACAAAAATAATCCAAGATACACAGAGAAATAGAAGCATAAATTCTAGCTCTATCATACTAGATTTACACAGAGAGAAACAAACAAAATTAAGTAAATAATTAAGAAAATTATGAAAGTCCCCAAAGCAAACAGATGACATGCAATGAATGTGATTCACTATATTTGTATCAGATAGCTCAATAATGGTTATTCTAGAAGACAATGGGAAAAATGCTGTCAAAGAACAGGAAGGACAATTCTTTAAATGTAATTCTTAACCCAGCTAAAATATTAATCAAAAGGAAAATAGTGGCATATTCACAAAAGCATCACCCATCATAACTCCCACTTACAGAAGTCAGTGACTACTGGTATGGAAAGAATTTTGGTCCCCCCCCAATCAATGTATTTTTTAATGTCTCATTAAAGAGAATGTTCTTTGGACCTTTTGAGAAACATAAAGAATGAGTGAGCAGGTTATACATAAATCTACTGAAACATTTCTATCCAATCAAATATTTTTATTCTTTCCTCTATAACATATCAATCAATTGTTAGTATATCAACTTCATTTAAGGTAAGCCATCACAAAGCCAGATTTCAGTGTAAGCCATTAGAACCAGTCCCTGATACATTGCATATGTGTAAGTTCCATGAGCTTTGATTTGTGGTTATTTTATGTCATTTCATGACTAGAAAGAAAATTCTACTGAGAAATCAATACCTCCTTAACTGCTAAACATTTGCAACTCCCATTATTTATTGTATAATTTACTCTAACCTCCAAAATACACATTCTTCTCAAATGTATATGGAACATTCTGAAAGATAGACAATATATTGGGTGACAATAAATTCAAGAAGTCTAAAATCATATCAAGCATCTTTCCTGATGACAAAGGTATAAAGCTAGAAATCAACCACAAAAAGAAAATAGAAAAAAACTCAAATACATAGAGACTAAACAAAATGATATTGAAAAATCATTAGACTAATTAGGCAAGCAAATGAGAAATTTAAAAGTAAGTGAAGACAAATAAAAATGAAGATATAGAACCTAGGGGATGCAGTAAATGCAGTAATAAGAAGGAATTTTATAGCAGTATAAGCCCACATCAAGAAATATGAAAAAGCTCAAATCTAACCTTAGCCCTTAATAAGCCATTTGAAAAAAGAACCAATGAGAACAAGTCAATAGAAGGAAGAAATTAATGAAAATTAGAGTACAAGTGAAATAGAAATTTAAAGAGTCCCAAAAGATCAATGAAACCAATATCTGTTTTTTGAAAAGATAAAAAAAAATAAAAATAAGCAAATCTTTAACTAGGTTCACTAAGAATAAAAGAGAGTAAACTCTAATAAATAGAATAAGAAATAAAAGTGAAATTACAACAGATAACACAGAAGTATGGAGAATCATAAGAGACTACTTCGAACATCTTTTTGCCAAAGTATTGGAAAATCTAAAAGGAAAACACAAGTTCTTAGAAAATCATAAAAACTCCAAATACTGAACCAGGAAGAAAGGAAAATCTGAATAGACCAATTAAAGCAAGGAAATCGAAATAGCAATCAAAAGTCTCCAGAAAAAAACAAGCAAGCAAACAAACAAAAACCCAGGACCAGATGGTTTCACTAGTGACTTTTGCCAAATATTCAAAAAAGAACTAATACCTATCCTTCTCTAGTCCTTCTAAAAAGTGGAAAATGAAGGAATGCTTCCCCCAGAACAATATATTTATTTTATATAACAGATGTTTGTTCCTTTTGTGTTAACTTAATATTAAATAATTCCAAAGATTTGATCCATATCTTAAGTAACATAGAAATTAAACCTTTGAAACATTTTTAGGAAACCACACATAAATATTATAATTAGAAAATCTATAAATTTAATTCTATTTTAACCCAATGGACAAAGGGAGAATCATTATTTCCTCTTTAACTTATACTTTAAGTCTTGACTTAAATTTTTTCCTGAACTTTGGTACTTCTCATCCTCCAACAAGCTAAGTTCTATTAGTGTATTGGATGCTATGGAAGAGCCTTAACATATAAAGTAAAATATAGACTGGAACCTAGACCCTGGAAAAGCTACCACCTAATTTCTTAATATTCACTATTGTGATAGCTGTGTAGCTGCCATTGCAGAAAGTACATTTTCCATTTTCAGAAATAATGAACCATATTTCCCCAGTACCCATTTGACTAGGGTAATACATGTGAGACTTTGTGGTAGAAATTAATGATCTTAGTAGTACTCCAGTGGCCTGGAATCCTTAATGAATATCCCTAAACATTTTACCTAATGCTGAGAAGAGACTTCAGCACTTTGGGGAAAAAAGAAGATCATAATTACTTAGCTTTTTATTTAAATCATCTTACAAATTGTTTAGTCTCACCTACATGATTTCCAGTGTAGACTCCTTTATTCCTGAATGGGCCTTGGTGTTAGGAACATCATATCTCCTGACACATATGGCTGGAGGTTTGGGGAAGAATAGTATTTTAAAAGCATCCTTATATCTAGAAGCTTAAGTTCCATATGCAAAATGAGTCTTTACTTTAGTGGCTTCAACTTAAATGTCAGTGGCCACCCACCCAGCTAGAGTCTATCAAATGCTAATGGAAAATTATAAAGAGCATTTGAATGGGCAAGGGCTTGACAGATAAGAAATAATTGTATTTTTCAGTCCCTTTACAACTACCTCTATCTTCAGAAATTAGGCTTGCACACTTTTCCTCCTACCATCCCATTTTTTTCAACTTAGTTTTAAAGTCACAGGGCAGAATCTGATTCATACCATTAATGTCTCTTTGTTCTTGGTTCTGCTTTCACAAAAATGCTGTAGGCAGTTCACTAGATGACTAATTTACTGGAGAAGTTATCAGAGTCCATTCAGTTGCAACTATAAAATAATTCAAGTAAGACAATAGTGCCTGCTAGCACTCCATAGCGAAGGTTTGTTCCTAAAATGATCAGATTCACGCCCCAACATATTCATCCACAAAGTTAAAAATCTCATCTAGAATTGCATATCCATAATCAATTTATCACTCCTGTGATAGATTAGGAAGTGAAAATAAAGGCGTTTTTTAAAGGTAAAATAAAATCAAAATATTTTTACACCACTCAAATAAACCTTCATCACATTTAAGTATTTTAAACATTATTTATATAACAATATTTGTAAGCAAAATCACCTTCCTTAAGTCAGTTTTCTAAGATGTTGTTTGTTGTATTGCTCTGGTAAATGAACAATATTCAAGAATCCTTGGTTTATACTAAATTTTCCATTTCAAACTTTTTACAAAATATTATTCATCATGAAAATAATAATACCAATAAACTTAGGTTTACAATGCAGTAAAATGTAGAGTTTGCCCTATTTGCCTTTATTCAAACAGAACTGTAACTCAGATGCATGCATTCTCAATGGGTTCTGTCAGGTAAACTATATTTTACAATAACTCACCCAGTACTAATTAGACCTTTCAAACATTTTATGTAACTGACTTTAACCATACTGAAACAGAAGTTTAGTATCAAACAGAATATTGATGGATACATCAATTATTGTTGTATCCATCCAAATAGAATTATTGTTTCCATCTAGTATTGAAGTTAAAGGATTAGACTAGATTATTATAAATAGTAGCAGTTGTCAAAACATTCAAGCTTTCAGTATCCTCTCAGAAAACTACTACTCAAAACCAAATGCAGTAAACTGATACATTTAGACTGTAAACATATAGATATATAAAAGAGTAAAAGAACTAGAAATGTGACAGAATGCAATGTGTCCTGTCCCAAAGCTTTTAATACTGTTTATGTTGCCCCTTCCCTTAATAAAATAGAACTATGCATATAGGGTTGGGACAGATTAAACAGAAACATTGGAAAGGGCTCATAAATGTCATCCCAAACATCAAAAGAATGCAAAAGTCCATAAGAGGCTAAACACGATGAGTCTTTTCACAACTTTTTGCCTTTAGGAATAATGTTTGCTGTTACCTGCTTCTATTAAATTCCTGTTAAGTTTAAGCCCAAATTTAACTACCTCTTGGGGTCTCACTCACTGCCCCCAGAAAACTTAGATTCTCTTTTCGTTGGTTTTCCACCAGGTTTAAAAAAACCCATATTATTAGAAATGGTGCCATTTTAGCATCATCATGTGCATGTTTTCCTCCCAATAAAAATTTATTTTGAGAACAAAATGCCTGATTCATTTCTATATACCAAGCATTTATTTCAGTAAATGAACAGCAGATATTTTTAAGAATAAAATGAAGAAATTAAAATAAGAAAATTATCAATTCTTCCTGAAATTTCATGAAGGATGTTTTGAAGTAGGAAATTAAAAAGTGTATCCAAGTAGAACTTTCATGAGCATTTGTGGGGAAGAGGAGAGAATTCAAACGAGTACTCTAGAGACAATGGAAATTGTCACGAGACCAAACTCAATACTGGGAGATAATGTGCAGACAGAAAGAAAAAGGATTCAGTACTGATCCATGATTTCTACTTTTTACACATTTTAGAGGTGAGTGAAGTAGGAGGAAAAATCAACCACAAAGGAGGTAAGAATGCAGTCAGAAAATTGCACTAGAAACCAAGTGAAGAGAACTTTCTGAGGGCTGGGATGGTCAACTCAAAGAAATGCTGTGAAGAAGTAAAGTAAAATTCACAAAAATCTGCAAAGAGCTGATGAGACTCAACAACAACAAAGAAAATAATCCAGTCAAAAAATGGGCAGAAGAGCTAAAAAGAAACTTCTCTAAAGAGGAAATGCAAATGGCCAACAGGCATATGAAAAAATGTTCAACATCATTTGTAATCAGGGAAATGCAAATCAAAACTACCATGAGATACCATCTTACACCAGTGAGAATGGCACATATTAAAAAAACTAGCAACAACAAATGTTGGGGAGGATGTGGAGAAAAAGGAACTCTCCTGCACTGTTGGTGGGAGTGCAAACTGGTCCAAACACTATGGAGAGCTGTGTGGAGATTTCTGGACCTACTAAACATAGAGCTTCCATATGATCCAGCAATTCCACTCCTAGGTATTTACCCAAAGGACACAGAAACATCAATTCCAAAGAGCACCTGTACCCCTATGCTTATAGCAGCACTGTTTACAATAGCTAAGCTTTGGAAACAACTCAAATGCCCAAAAATAGATGACTGGATCAAGAAGATGTGGCACATATACACCATGGAATATTACTCAGCATTCAAAAAAGATAAACACATGCAATTTGCAGCAACATGAGTGGTGCTGGAAGGGATCATTCTCAGCGAAATAAGCCAGAAAGAAAAAGAAAAATACCAGATGGTCTCTCTCATAGCAGGAATCTAGAAAACTTAAATAAGGGACCAGGAAAATGAATAACTATAAGAAAGTGAAAATCAAAATCAACAAACAACTATGAACCAGAGACACTCTATGGAGGGTGGGGGGAGGGAGGGGAGGGATTGGGGTCAAAATAAGGGGGTTGCAATTGTATGGGGAATATAAAAATAAAATTTATTTAAAAAATTACACCTAAAAGCATCCCTGGACTTAACAATTAGGTGGTTTTGAGGACCTTGATAAGAGCAATTTGTTGGTGGGGTAAAAATCTAGATTTTAGTGAAGGGCTGAGTCAAGAATGAATGGGAAATGAGAAAATGCAGACAACACACACAATTCATTAGTGTCAGAGACCTGTTTGAGAAGAGGGGGAGAAATAGGGAGGACTAACTGAAAGGAATGTGAAACCAAGAAGGAATGTTTTAACCATGGAAACTATGAATGTTCCATTAGATACAGATAGCAAAGAGAAAAGGGTGTAAGCATCTGGGAGGACTTGAGCTCCAGAGCACAACCAGAAACTTGGCCCTTGTACAGCAAGGTTCACTCCATAAAGAAAAAGGATTTATAATTTTCTGTTTTTGTTTTGCTGTGTTTTGTATTGTTATTATTTTTTTACAGTGATGTCTTATTTGGTTTCCCTATATTCCTCCTATAAGTAAAACCATCCAATATTTTTTTCTTTTTCATTCTGACTTATTTCACTGAGCATAATTCCTTCTAGTTCCATCTATGTTGCTGCAAATGGCATCAGTTTATCTTTTTTGATTGCTGAGTAATATTCCATTGTGTATATATACCATATCTTCTTGATTCAGTACGGAGGGAGGAACACAGGGGACTATGGTGATGGTGCACAGGTGCATTGGTGAAGGAAATTCTGTGGGAACTACACCTGAAGGGGTAGGGGGAAGCAAATATTGTTTTAAAATGAACAATGATATAAAAATAAATAAATCAGTAAAAAAAAAAGGAAGAAGAAAATGGGTATGGGAGCAAGTAGGTCCTATATATGATTGCAGGAAGATGAGAGCTAATTTCATTCCAAAACTCAGAGAGCCATAATTAATGTCACATTCTTTAGTTCATGTCAAAAGGATACAGTGTATATCTGTGTTAGTAAGGATAAGCTGTGTTTTGTGGGGTTAACAGACAATTGCAAAATCTCAATGGCTAGCAGTAATAAAGTTGTTTCTCACTCATTGTGTATATTGCAAGTTTAACTCGACTCACTTTGCCCTTTATCTGGAACTTTGCTGATTTTCATGTGGAGGGAAAAGAGAACAGGCAAACGATGTCCAGGTCCTTAGAACTTGTACCTTGAAGTAGCATACTTCACTTTTGCTCCTATTTTTCGGCCAGACCTCATCAAAGGGCCATTCCTGCATTAAACAAGGCACAGATGTACCTCCTTCTTGTAGAAAGACATGGCAGACAAAGACAGGGAACATGACTGGAGATTGTGATACATCCTAACCGACATTCACTCAAGTCTTTTGGTTTAAAAGTGAGAAACAGTTAATATTGCATACCGGATATTTTTCAGTCTATTATTATCTGTTCTCCATGGTCACACATTCAGATAAAAATGACTAAAATTGGGCCTCTCCTGGTGGCGCAGCGGGTTGAGCACAGCGCTGTGAAGTTGTCTGCAGCCGCTGCAGTGTGGGTTCGATCCGGCTTGCTGGTGAGAGTCCCACATGGCGTAGCAGGCCTCTCCTGTCTCGCCCACTGCTCCCCTCAGCAGTGTATTTCGTTAGTATGCCTGTTTTGTTCCCCATCAGTCTCTGGCGAATCCTCTCACCCTCCCGCAATTCTGGCCTATACCCCAGTTCTTGTATAAATAAATAAATAAAATCTTAAAAAAAAAAAGAGGCTAAAAAAAATGACTAAAATTGACTAGTATATTTTTGAAACTTCACCAGACTATTGCCACTACCTAAGCGGCCATTTCAACTATTGGTTTTCCTCTTGGTTGATGATTTCAGGCAATTTCTACTATTTATTCTTTCAATATGTATTTACTCTATGCTGGGTGCATTGAGGTCAGTGCAGCCCATCTCTGCTATAAAGGAAGTTGTTATAACTTCCACATACAAATAGGTAAAATCTACTTATGTTATCATAAAGATAGTATTCATGTGACTGACTACTCCACGGTTTCACAAAACTACAAAAATATTCCCTATGAAATCTGCATGTTGGCTGCTAAATTAAACTATGCATACACTGTCCATTATAACAATTAAAGTATTTTGCCTTTCTTGAAGGAGGAAATGTCTATGAGATTTTCTATCCTTTGATACTGTGACTGAATTGAACTATTTTTATTCAAAACAGCATAACCAGCAGAAAAATATCATCACTCAATTAATTTGATGATTATATAGCATGGACACATTGGGGAAACATCATAAGATTAAGCCTTGTTCTATGAAGGTTCAAAATGAAGACAGATAATTTTAAGTTGTGGAATTCAATGACAGACAAAAGAAAGAAGGAAGGTTGAACTAGCTCATGTGCAAATGAAGCAATATAAGCTTCCAGAAAACTTCCGTAAATTAAAACACCCTCATTGGTAACTGACCAGCATAGCAATAAGACAGCAGAAAATCAAAGTTCTCCATGGTATTTTCCCATATTTAAAATGATTCCCTGTCTGGGGCATATTGCTACTTTGTATTCCTCTTGATATTTTCATTTAAAAGAGAGCTGCTGTGCAAAATAATGTCCTTGTCTGTACCTTCCTCATACAAACCTCCAATCAAATTTAATAAAGCTAGTTTGATACAATGCCAGCCTACACTTGGTTTACCCTTGGTCGACTTTAATAGGGTCAAAAATATTTTCGCATTGGCAGTGTACGCATTAATCATTTTTCCAGAGGATTTAGAAAATTGGAAGAGACAAGGCCAAGCAAAATTTTAAATTAATTGGGCCTACCCCAGCCTTCCAGGGTCACCTTGTGGCAGTTGTCCCACATTTTCCAGGTCACAGAGTTCCTGTGTTTCCTACAGCTGCCACAAGGAGAGATGCATGCTGTGGGCACACAAAGGTGAACAAATTTCTCTCAGAAAGTGCGAATTTTCCTACAGTAACCACAACAATTGCAGTTTCCAGATTGTCGCCAGACACTAACCACTTAAATAATGCATGCTCGGCTGACGCCTCCACTTGTGCATTTTCTAATCGAGTAGTCAGGAAAATTTGCAAACACTGTCATTTACCATAAATCCACTGCCTACTTATAACCACAAAGTAATTAATTTTAGTTCTGTTCAGAATTATTAATTTCAGTCAGAAAAAAAAGTTTTGAAATTGTTATGCCCCCTATTTTTTTCTCTCCACCAATAGTCATCAAAAAAGGTTGAAGCAGTTTTCCTATAGGGGACAGGCTAGTCAGAGCAATGTTATTGAGAGTCTATGTGACAGCAGTGATGCGATCCATATTTCTGGCTTAATCTGCTATCATGTGCTGGTGGATGTCTGGCTGACTCACCAGATGAAGTTGGCAACATAAGATAAAGGCTTTCATTAAGGCAGGGGTAGAGCAGTCTTTAAAGTCTTAATAATGATAGGCAACCCACCTTATGGGTTCTTCTAATAGAAGATAGCAATAAACTATACCCTCAGTGCAGAAAATACCTTGAGACTTTGGAGAAAATTAGCAAATATTTTTCACTTTAAATGGTCTTGGCATTTGACAGAAAAGAGAATAAGACACTTTACCAAGGATAAAAATAACTTGCAGTGAAATACACAATTATGAGTATACTGGTATGAAAATCTCAGCAATCACATGTATATCTAACATTCACAGAATGAAAATTGAGCATTAAATATGGTGCATTTTATCTTGGTAAAGCTAAATCTGGCACTCTCATTTGATATTAGTTTCCTGCTAAAGCAGCTGCATGATATGTCACAAGAATGTCCATATTATAAATATGTAATGAGCATGAGAAAACTGGTACAGCTCTGTTTGACTAATGACCAGATCTTTCCCATATCAGTAGCAGAACACATAGCTAACACAAGTATCGGCACTTTAATTGCCATGGAAGATTTTGTTTCTGCTTTCTACTGCATGAGTGATCAAGAAAAAAATGAGGGAAAGTAAACTAACATCTAGAGATGTAAACATGACTCACTGGGAAATCAGACATAGTTAAGTAAATTCCAGGATGTTTGTGGTTATCTGGGTCTAAACACTGCTGATAGTTCTGACTACTCTTGTTTTTAACTGTTTTTCCTCTGGGTACTTCTTAGTCTAGGTAAAGACTCATAAATACCTTCAATCTTTGGATTATGAATAATCTGCATGTTGTACAACTAGGAAGAGATGTCAGTGAGCATTGATGGAATTATCTAGAAACATGCTCTAGTGAAAAAACTTGACATTTAACAGCAGGGTTGAGAAAATCTAGCAGTGTTAAATCTTTGTGCTGTACATGGGATCATTAGAAATTATGCAACTACTGTTATATTAAAATTTGAAATTCCTGAAAAGAGATTAAATCACAGATACATAGGAAAAGATCATCAATATAGGGAAAGTAAATCAGAAGGATAATTCTTAAAATAGATAATGTGCCTGAACTTCAGAACTACATGGGAGCTTTAGGACATTTGACATACATTCCTACAGACTTGAGAAGCAGCTAGAACCTTCCCACTCTGTGTTTGTCCAGGCCCAGCAGGATCTCATCTCCTGGAAACCTACGTGAAATGCAGATGGTCAAGCCCACCAGACCACATGACTCAGTGGAATTATGTTAACAAGATCCATGAGAGTCACGTGCACATTAAAGACTGAGAATCTGGGTCTAAATTGAAGTCTAAAACCTCATCACAGAAGGTAAAGAAATTTCACAGAATAATTTTACAGATATTCCTGAGAGTCAGCTTCCACCTCCACTTTAAGCTAATTACATTCCCGGTCTAACACCGTCTTTTACCCCAAGTTTTCCACACGCAAAAATAATGCTGTTCCAGACAAGAATAAAATGAGCACATCTTCAAGACACTTTTATTTCATATCAAGGTCCACTTGAAAGAAAGTAAGTATGGTATACTTAAAAGTCAAGAAAAGAAAAAACTAACACCTCTATCTTGCTATTAAAATTTGTGTTTATAGTCCATAGGCTTTCTCATATCTTCACATCTCTGGTTTCTTGTTTAGAGTGGTAGGTTTGGCAAACATGCCTTTGGAACTGTAATATTTTTTCTTCTTTGTTACAAGACAAAACCCTGAATATTTCCAAACTGATGAACAAATTCATCCATTTTTCAATCCTTAAATTGTATGGGCCATGATAAAGGTTCATGGGGAAAAAAAGGAAATGTTTTTAATCACTGTGATAAATAATTCAAACATTGTATAACTAATCCAAAAGAGAACATAGTTCAACCCCATTAATTAGTCATTACAAACTACTGAGTTGTACAATAATATCAGTGGTGTTTCTGGAATAAAATATTAGGGAGTTATGTCCAGGATGGAGTTAGGATGCAGAACTTTTCCAGTGGAAATATTTGTTACTGACTTGAACCACTTGAGGTAATTGATATATTATGCTGCTTAATATTACTCTATTAATAACAAACATTTAAATCTTCATTCATGATATTTTCTTGAAAGCAGCACTGTGCTGATCCTCACTGTATTTTGACAGCAACCTGAATTCTTGTTCACAAGTATAGAATTTGTTTAGCTCCAGGCATCTGTGTTTGGATTACAAGAATGCTGATTGGTTCACTGCCAGGGGCACCCAAAGGTCAAGCTCTCCTTTTAAAGGTCTCTCTCTCTCTCTCTCTCTCTCCCTCTCTCTCCTTCTCTCTCTCTCTCTCTCTCTCTCTCCTTTGTCTCATTATTCAGAGTTCAAAGAGGAAAAGAGCTATGACTTCAAATCATTTACTTCTTTTTCAAGGATATTTTTAAAAGCAGAACTAACTCTGTTGGTGTGAGGTCAAGTTGATATGAGTACAGATCACACCGGCACACTTCTGACAGGTGACCTGAAACCTTTCAAACTGACATCTGTCACAAGGACAGACACAAGTTTTTTAGCCCAAGAGCTTGTTTTCATGACATTTCATTTTTCATCAGATTTTGAGAGAAGGGGAAAAAAGATGAACTTGAAAAAGTCTTGCCAGGGGCAGAAAATAAGATCAGGTTTTCTGCAGCTGCCTTACTCACCTTTAAAGGTCAGAGGTCTAGCAAAAGTGAACAAAAAAGACCTCAGTTTGATGTTATTGGATAAAAGGACATGTTATTACTTTAAATACATTTCTGAGACTTGCATAACCATTAGGCAGCATTACGGGAGAAATGGAATAAGAGTGAGATTACATATCCATTTTAAATCCCAATTTTAGAGTTTAGTCATGGAGTAAATCAAATCCAACCTCATCTATTCATCTGGCACAAAAGATGAAATCCACAGGTGCATGAATTTTCTCATGAATTGAATAATTTCCTGCTCCTACGGTACTGAAATGGCCAGTAAAATTTAGACAAGGTATTGAAATTCTTACTTTGGACTAGAGGAACTTCTGCATCAAAATAGTTACATGGTTTATCTTGGCTGAAAAATATTAGGGAAAACATGTACTACTGATTAAGAGAAAGAAAAAAGAACTTAAAAAGTCCAAAAATCCCTGGGTTCTAGTCGTGGTTTTACTAAAAGTGTGATGTTGGAAAATTATATTTCTGTTTCAGTTTTATCCCCTGTAAAATGGGAGAAATAATATCTCACTTTTGAAGTTCCAATGAGGACAAAACAGGATCATATATTTGCATGCAGTGAAATAAAAAAATAGTGTAGCAGTGGCTGGAAACTGCATTATGCTCATCTTTTTAGTTTCAAGTGCTTAGTATAGTATCTGACACAAGAAGTAGCTCTTGATGAGAAGTGGAAGATAGTACTTTCCTCATCTGATAATCCTTTTTTTTTTTTAACTTGAGTCCAGGAAACATTTATTGAGGTACCATTGGTTTATAATACCACACAAATTACAGTAGAGTTTCCCATCTGAATATGTTTATATACCACACTAATCCAGGGCATTTTTCCATGAGGAACAGCATGATTGAAGATTTGGAAATGTTTTTATTTAGATTATTTCAATATATGAATATAGGAGCAATGCCTTTGGAAGTCACTAAGAAACTAGGCGCATATTACACTACATAATTTTCAATTCTCAGGAATCAGGCAAATCAGACAATTTAGTAGGACAACAAATTACTGTGAAAGAAGTGTGCATATTTTCTAAAATAAAGCCTTACATACTGCCAATGGGTCAGCATTCCTTTGAATATCAAATTAGGTGTTTCTGTCATAATATTCATCATAGCATGAAATATTGAGAAGGTATAGAATTTGTTAGCTAAGTAATAGGAGCTATATATCCTGGATCTGGTCAACTAACTGTAAATATCAAGCTCAGCTTGATAAGTACACCATCAAAGCACTCAAATAATGCTATTTCTCCTGAGAACCCTTCTCCACAAATACAAATATATGTCTTACACATTTTTGATATTTCACATAAGATACTTATTAAATTGTTCAACAAGCTAATTGGAAAGTGCATGATAAGGTCAAGACCCTCCAGCCCAGAAATTTGGTTATGACATCTACTCCTGTAGATAAAGTGGGGTCCAGAGCTTAAAGCTGAATGAATAATATTTTCTATTCTATATGTAGCACACTTCACACTAATACAAGCAAAGGAATCCAATTTGTGATTATTTCACATCAGAGAAAGCCAGTAATAAATATTTTAGAAGACAAAGCAATGAACCATAATATTTGTCTGATCCTGCTTTTATTTCAGATATTCAGAGTCTGCTCTTTAAATAAATAGTAATCATACCATATATCTCAATTGTTGTTTTTACATACTACACAACAATTGTAAAAATAAGTTGCAATGATTGTTACATCTGTTTTAATCTCCTTAAGGTGTCCTATGTTGCTATTTTGAAGAAGCTGCCTAATTTTTAGAGTTCACAGTCAATATAATTTATTTTGAAAATGCTAAGAAAAACTTTTTACTCAAATTTATTTTAGCTTATTTAATGAGAGATGCTGCATACTTTCAATACTCAAAAGTTATTTAGTAATTATGACAAAAGAAGATTGCATATTATACTGTATTGCCTGGAACATAAAACTACACAGTCATCTAAAGAAAGCATGTATAAAAATTTCTTCCAGTAAACTGGGTAGTACTCTGGATATCTCATGAGCCTTACTTAACACTCTAATTTATTTTTTAAGGTTGATTAATGTATCATTCTGAATCATAATCTTTTAAATGTCCTTTTATATACTTTTATTTTCTTGTAATTCTTGATGTGATTACCAACACTGGAGGGATGGATTCATTTTTATTATTTCTGAACCTATGTATATTCTGAAAGTTGTAATCTGTACTTTCTGCTTCCTTAACATTTATTTATTCACAATTACACAACATTTAGAGACTGGACTTTACTAGTGCTTCTTGATTTCCAAGAACAGGCAGGGCCTATTTATGAGATTTTAAAAGCCATTCTTTTCCAAAACAAAAAGTTACATTGTTCTACCATCATGTGAACTAAAGTACCAGAGTTCAATTTCAGTTCAGAAGCACAAACCCAGAAGATATGAGTGAGTTTCCAATTTGGGGAAATATTTTAGATTTTGTTTCTGAACTGTAGAAAAGAGATGTCACAAACAAATTCTATGTGTGCCTTGGGGTTGGGGGTGGGGTGGTGACATGCACCAGAAGAGGTGTGAACCCATACTTCTGAATAATACAAAATTTTGTAAATACATAATTACATAATTTTGTATATCAATGTTGCTTCAATTGGAAAAAAGAGAGATATACTCTTCAGAGTCTCTGAAGATGTAGCTCTTCTCCAAGTGGCTTATTACCAGTAGAAAGAGCTGTTAAGGCTTTAACTTATTTCTTCTGAGCCCTACTCCTTGAGTTAAAAAGGGTGTTCTCTGGACTTGAACAGGGTACACATGTGATCAGTAAACAGACTATGACAAAGCATTAAAATCTCCACCTCAGCCACCTCTACTCTGTATTGCTAATGTGGAGGTATATTCATCAACCAGTAAGATGGGCAAAGAAACTGCTACCTTAACCTTTTCATCTCAGGCCACCTTCAGCACATCCCTGTGCCTTTTCTTTGCTCTTCTTTGTACTTACTGCCAGTTGCTGACTCTGGCAAGGAAATATTCCACTTAAGACATTTTCTTTAAAAATCTCTCTTTTTTCTTTGCTGATTACATCAGTGATAAATACATGTTCATTCCAGATAACTTAGAAAATGACATCCAGAACCACATTTGCTCTCAGTCATTTTTTCGTTAAGTCTTATTTTCAATACACAAGAGCCTATTAAATATACAGCTTGTTTTCATTTTTCACTATATCACAAACATATTCCCATCACTATAGAAATTTAATCTTTACAGAGAATTGTGCTGGCTGCATAACATCCTCTCTGTGTAATTTTAATGGTGTCTTTAAGTCTTTTGTCTTTTAATCCATTTATCACTTAGTGAACTTTTAGCCATTTTAAAATCATTTTATATGTCTTTACATTAAAAATTAATCACTTGTTCTATTCAAAATCATTCCCAAATTACTACTTGTCTTTGAATCACTTGTTCCCCCCCCCCCTTGGATATGTGGAGGTTTTTAATATTTATGTTAGCAAATATATTGATCTTTGAGTTTTGTTATTTTTTCAGTTGTTCATTCTATTTTTCTCTACTTTTGTTTTTCCCAATGCTTATTAACCTAGAGATTTTTCTTGACATAGCAAAAATTTACCTACATTTTTTCCTTGTTTTAAAAAGTAGTGTTTAATATTGATTATTATTTGAAATAGAGTGGTGAGTACATGAAAATTCATTACACTATTCAACTTATATTTTGTATATGTTTAAAATTTTCTGTACTAAAAAGAAAAAAATAGTAACTTCTCCTTTCTACCCTATAGAGACTTACTTTTTCTAAATTGCATTTTTTCTAGGCTCTAATGGAGACAGTGCTGACTTGAAAAAAAGTGTTAATGAATAATAATGGCATTATGCCAGTTATTCCCAAAGTTTAGTATCCGCAAAAATCACCTAGGGTATTGGTCATAAGATTTTAATTCAGAAAGGCTGGTGTGAGACTTAGGAATTTGCATTTTTAACAAACACCAGGAATGATTATGCTGAGATAGTCTATGGACCACACTGGAATTATGTGCTCTATATTTTAAAATTAGATGAGCAATTTCAACACATGGTGCTGGAACACTTGGATATCCATATGCAAAAAAACAAAAATTTCAACCCATATTTTTCACCATACACAAAAATTAACTCAAAATGGATCATATTTTAAAATTTTTAAATAAATGGGTATAGACCTAAATATAAAATCTAAATCTATAAAACTTCTTGAGGAAAACACAGAAGAAAATATCTATGGCTTGGTTATGCATATTTCTTAGCTATCACATCAAAAGCCTGATCCACAGAATAAAAAATTGATAAATTGTACCTAATCAAAATTTAAAATTTCTGTTCTTTGAAAGACAATATAGCAAGAAGAGAGTGAAAAGACAGTCCTCAGACTGGGGAAAAATTTTCAAAGCATGTCTCTAATAAAGTATGTATATTTAGAATATACACACTTAAAACTTGGTAGTAAAAATATAATAACCCAATTAGATAATTAACAAATTTTAAACAGACACTTGACTGGAGGAGCTACATAGAGAGCAAATAATCACAAGAAAAGATACTCAACATCATCAGTCATCAGGGAAATGCAAATGCAAATTAAAACAACAATGAGATACCCCAACATACCTGTAGAGCAGCAAAATGTTAAACAGACAAAAAATGTTGAGGATGGAAGAAACTGAACTTCACATATGCTACTGGCAAAGATTTAAAATAACTGTAGGGGCAGGATGGGCACTGAGCAGGTTTTCTGATCCAGCGGATGGGTAAAGGAGAGTCCTTGAGCCCTCAGTGACTTTCTCAGGCTTTTATTGAGCTTTATGTGCATTGCAGCAACCAGGTACACATGCAAGTCCTCACTCTGGGCTTCTCTGGCCTCATTCACCCCTTCTCTCTCCTGCCTCTTTTCCTGCTTCTCTCCTCTTGGTGACTATCTCATTACTCTTCCCAGGGCTCATAGTAGTGAACAAGACAGTTTGCAACAATGTAACAACTGCAGGTGCCCCATCAGGCAGGGCAGTCCTAATGGTGGGAGGGCAGAAAAGCCTGTGAGGCCTTTTACCCTACAATAACACAATCACTTTTCAAAACAATCTGGCAGTTTCCTTAAAAGAGCAAATATACACCTATGATATGATCCAGTCATTCCATTCCTAAATATATGGTCAAGAGAAATGAAAGGATATATCTGTACCTAAATAGTCATAGTAGCTTCATTTATAACAGCCAAAAACTGGAAACAACCCAAGTGCTCACCAATAAGTCAATGAATAAACAAGTTGTTGTATGTATACACAATGGAAAGCTACTTATTGGTTAAAAAAAAGAAAGAAAGAAAGAAATAGACTAGTGATACAGGTAACATGCATGAATCTCATAACAATTACACTGAACAAAATAAGACAAGCCAAAAGAGTACCCACTTTATGATTCCATTTATATGAATTTCTAAACAAAGCAAGCCTGTGTAATCTATAGTGATTGCTCTGGGAAGGGGGAAAGGGTAGGAAAGAGGAATTTCAAATGGACATGAGAAACCTTTGGAGATGATGGCTATTTTCATTATTTTGATCATGATCATGGCTTCATAATTATATATATATGAAAAATAAAAATAAATTTAATTCAAAATTCTAGAAGATAGCAATCTACCTGATTTCCTTTCCCTCCTACCACCTTCAGGGATAACTCAAAGCCCCTAGGTTAGCTATGAAATCTTAGAGCAAAATCTCACATGAATTTCCAGAAAAATTACAGAAATGAATAGTAGTAAAATTGTTTTGTTTTTGTTTGGGGTGAATCAATAGAAAATCAGTCTTCTGTCTACCTTTCTCATAGTTTGGGTTCTCCAAGAAGACTCTGATATGGAATTTCTTATGTAGGATTTTTATCAGAGGACATCCTTATGATCAGTCAGTATGGAAAAGAAGCAACTGTGTAAAGGAGCTAATTTAAACTGTAATTCAGGCCTGACTTGGAATCATCTGTTTATCCCAGGTACTCTCTGGAGCTGTAAAAACAGTAATATTTAGTGTAAAATCCAAAATCTTGTAACCACAAGTTTTAACATGTATGCCAGAGAACAATGGGTTGGGGTGAGGCTTGATTCAAAGTTCAAAGGATGTCACCAGGAGCCCAGTTTCTTGCTGTCTGTCTGTCCCACCTTCTACAAATTCAGCTCCATACTCAGGATTCTTTGCACCATCTCCTCAGTTCCAGATGCACATTACAGAAAGTGATGGGTGAGGTCACACACCTCCCACCTCCCCCCCCAAACACACAACTCCAGTGGAGAGAGATCAAAAGCTTAGTAGCTGTTATGAAAGACAACAGGTTTCTGTCTCTCTTTTTAATCCAGCAAAGTTGTCCTTTTGTATGGTATGGGCTATGAGCCCAAGCTTGAACCAAAGTTCCCTGATATAAAAATTAACTCAAAATGGATATTTTAAAATTTTTAATAAATGAGTATAGACCTAAATATAAAATCTAAGTCTATAAAATTTCTAGAGGAAAACGTAGAAGAAAGTATCTATGGCCTTGGTTATGCATATTTCTAAGCTATCACACCAAAAGCCTGATCTACAGAATTAAAAATTGATAAATTGTACCTAATCAAAATTTAAAATTTCTGTTCTTTAAAAGACAATATAGCAAGAAGAGAGTGAAAAGGTGATCAGGTGACTGGACTAGACTTACTGGCACAGACCTGAAACTGGAATCAGCAACTCCAAAATGGAGCAGAGGGAATTCTCATAGGGCACTAGATGGTACTTACATCAAGAAGTAGATGGACTAAATGCTAAGCTGTGATCATGGCTTGTGCTTCAGTGAAGCTATAATAATTTAAAGCAAAGGCAAAGAAATAGGAGAATTTTACAGGTTAAAGGCATTTAAAAGGGTTCATTTTAGAGAGTAGGGGTCATCTGGTGGTCACTTCAATATCACCACTGGGCAGCTTGACCCCACTTATTCACACATGATCTACTTTTATTTTCCTTATGAGTAAACATATCCTCAATCTTTTGAATTAAAAACTACAAGAAATGTCAAAATTGAAAAAAGATTTTTAAATTAAACTCTATTAAAGAAATGCTAGTTCAAAAAAGACATAATTGGGCTCTCGAAAACCTGGCAGCTCCCAAACGCCAACAAGTTTTTCTCTTCACAAGTCTGTTCTCAGCCATTCCAAGAAAGGAACGGAGAAGAACAGAGCTATAGCGTTTTGATGACAACCCACTTCTAATCCACAGGATCATATGCCTTTGCACCCTGTTCAAAGGAAACTTGGCCTAGAAAAGAATTAGTTTCATAACAAACCAGCCACTCTGAGAATAGAGGTGAGAAGAGATCGGGTGGAAGAGCCTGCGACGTGTTGAGGAGCTGGCGAGTCTGAATTGCCAGTTCATATGCAGCTTCATGATCGTGCACAATGACCGAAGGGACTTGGCTTCTAGTTCCTCAGTCGAACTCTTAATTCAGGGGTAGAAAATAATAAAATCTGCTTGATTCTTAATAGATCAAAAAGGATTTTTTTTTTTTTTTTTTTTTAGTGAATGAGGCAAATGCAACCATTTTGAGGAAAATAGATTTCTAGGAAAGGTCAGCATCTGCAGCATCATTTTCATTATCCTTATCTAACATTTATTAAGGGCATGGTTTACAAGACATGCCACTGTCCCTCAATTTACCAAGCTTAAGACCCAGCACTCGAATGCATTATTATATTGGCAAATAAAATTTACAGAGATGCAAGCCAAAATAAGGCTATCAAATTGGGAAATCACTGTGAAGCAAACATAACACAAAATATATCTTCATGAGAATAAAACTTCCACTTTAGGTATGATAGCAATAATATGTGACTGATAGCTGATTATAAGATTTAATGATTATGATTTAGGAAATAATAGAATTTAAGCCAAATGCCAAAAAAAACTGTGAGAGGAGAAATGTGGTAAATGGCTAGAGAAATCATCCAGCTGATTCTTTTTCCACGAATGTGTTTCAATGGCTCTATTCCTTAAGCTTCTCCTTTTATTTCTTCTCTCCCCCTACTTTCCTGTAGTACTTACCATTTCAAGCAAGCTTCACACCCAAGAAGTTATTGCTGCTAATGAAGCAAATTGTAGTAATGAAACTCAAGCTGGAAAAAAGAATGGTTTTAACTGTCTAAGTTCTAATAAAGCTTCTTACAGATTAAAACCATATAGGTGAAATGTGCATAATGCTTACTTTTTCATGGTACTTTGATGAAATAAGTAAAAATCATGAGAAATTAGTTGCATTTCACCAATCATTTCCCCTCATCACCCTGTCACCCAACAGGCCACTAAATACACTAGAGAATGATTTTGGGAAACAAAAGATATGCTCCTTTGGTTCTCTTGATTTTCTCTCATTTCTGTGAATTTAATTTTCTGTGTGAGCATGTGTCTGAGCTGGGGCAGACAGATTGGTGCAGAGTTTCTTAAAAACAATTTTTTGCTCCATCAGACACAATATATTCTGCTGAAAGAGAAGAAAGCACTAGAAAGCACTATACCCCAGGGAAAAGGAAGTTTCTCCAAAAGTTTGTTCCCTCAAAACTTTACAATGGAAAAAGGTATCCCTCTTGGGTGATTTAATTTAATTGTTATGTTTTTTAACTTTGTTCTGGGGGAAATTAAGCAACCATCAGCTGCACTTCATAGACAAATACCACTTTTTGGTAGATAGAACACAAAACTAGGAATCGGAAAACCAAAAAAAGAATCCTGGCACAATGCTGGGTGATTTCATCTCCACATGCCTAAATTTCCTGTTTGCAAAATGAGATAGAGCTTCCCACTCGTCACTTCTTTCTTGGAGATGCAGTGAGGACTAATAGTCTTCACTCTGATTCTTTTCTTCCAAAAAGAAGCAGAGAGTTTTAGTGGTGCAACAGACACATCTTGATAAATACAAAGAGGGTAACAGAGACATGATTCAGTGGTTACCATGTAGTCCGTGGTTACTAGGGTAAGGCATCTTCTGTGCTCTCGGGGCGCTCATAACTCACACGGATGTCAGACCCTGACAGATCATTGAATGTGGCAAATGCCGAAGAACACATAGGAACAGACCAAACTGAGCTGGTTCTTAAAATATAGAAAACCCTGCATGTTAAGGGCACAGAACCCAGTTCTGGAGCCAAACTTGTAACTGTGTGACCCTGGGCAAGTTACTTAACTTCTCAGTGTTCCACTTTCCTTATCTGGAAAAAGAAGATAAAAGCAATACCTCCCTCAGAGGTATGTGTATATATATATGTATATTCATATATACATAAACAGTGTGTGTGTGTGTATAGAGAGAGAGAGAGAGAGAGAGAGAGTTTAGAACAGTCAATGCCAGGCATATAATAATGGTATTGTTACTGTCATTATTAGGATGGGTAAGGTTATCTAGGGAAGGACAAGAGGAGGAACTATCCAGGCAGAGAATAGCAGGAACCACAGAGACCAGAAACAGCACAATTATTTTCTTGAAATTATAAGAAATATTCTATTTCCCAAACATAAAGGACCAAGCAGGTGAGACCAACGTGGGAAGTTTACAGAAGTATTTACTATGAGCTTGGACTTTATTTTACAGACAGTGGATAATTACTAAATAATTTTAGATATAGTAGCAGCATGGTCAGATTTGTGATTTGTTAGATACTAAAAAGAAGAGACTGACTGTATATGACTGATGCTTTGTAAAATGGCCACAATTATATCTCTTCCTATATCCACTCTTCTTTATAATATGTGCTTCACAGCCTTCCCATTAGGATATTGAGTATATTTCCCTATTTATTTAATATGGATTGACTTTGGACTCTCTTTGTCTAATATAATCCAACCAAGTTATAGTGTGCCAATTACAAGCCCAAACTTCCAGAGG